TTCTTTTGCATGCAGATTGGATTAGTTTTTAAAAGATAAAATATATAAGATGAAAATTTTAAGATATTTAAATTAATATGACAGGTGCAAAAGAAAGATTTTTAGATAATAAATTTTTTTTAGTGGGGGGGGGATCAAAAAGTAAAATTCTTTTCTACTATTTTTATTTGCTAGTATGAAAGTAGTGCAGAATATATGTTAAGCCTTATAGGTAGTGAAATATATATTAAGTTACAATATAATAAACAGTCTTCCTTTTAAAAAAAGTCGCTCGTCAAAGTGTTTTAAATTCGTTGATTCAATGAAATTTTAAAGCGAAAAATGATTAAGAAAAAAGTAATCTGCTATTCTATTATATTAATTACCTCATTAAATTCCTAATATATATTTTAAATTATCGAAATAGCTATTTATTTGTTCTTTTCTAACTTCTTAACTTTTGAATGAGACTTGTTTTTATTATTATAATATTCTTCCGAATTTAAAAATAAATTAATATCCATAACTTTCAAAATTAAAAATAATTAAATAAATAACAACAATTTTGCAAAAATATTAAAGAACATAAGAATATTATTTAATAAAATTTTAGGTTACTTTGAATTTTCGATTTCCTAGAAATGTACTTATAAATCGTTACTTTTTTGTTTAGTACTTGTACTTTTACTTGTACTTTTTACTCGTTACTTTTTAAACTAAGAACTTTTTACTTTTTACTCGTTACTTTTTTTAAAAATATTTGTACTTTTACTCGTTACTTTTTAAAAGTAACGTTGCCATATATGCTTATAAGAGAATACCTACCAAATGGCAATTTACTGGAAAGATGTGTTGGCGCCAGCAGTCAAAACAACATTAAATCGATAAATTTGCTTATTTGGACGTTTTCTTCAAAGCCAGTAAATATATGGTTCAAATTGCCAATTATTTTTGTTGAGCCATGGTGGCTCAGTGAATAGAGAATTCACTTTACATTGAAAGGAAACCGGTTCGAATCTAAGCGATGGCTGGCCGATACGAATTCCGTACCCGGCTCTCACCGACCACAGTACTGACGTAAAATATCCTCAGTGGTAGACGAATCATGGGTTAGAGTCCCTTTGCCAACAAGCTAACCGTGGAAGGTTTCGTCTCCATGTAACGAAAAGCGGGTTAGTTCTATCAAAAAGTCCTATACGAAGGCAAATATATTCCTTTGGTTACGGTGATCTGCAAAGACGGCTTCATGGGGATTTTCAACAACATAGATGTCGTGGGTATAGAATTGGCAAAACTCGAGTGACTAAAATGCTTAACCTTCTCTCTAAAGTTACCTTCTCTTTCCCTCTTTCACTAAAACCGACAAACAAGGTCACACAGTTTCCCATAATTTACTAAGAGGTGTAGGTAGTACTTAATTTCCATTTTTAGTTGTCCTAGTGTTGACTGTTTATTGACTATCTTTAAATATTCGCTTGTCTAGCATGTTGAACTACTGTTAACTTTAGGAAAGGATCAAATTTTAATAGAATTTATTTAACGCATTCTTTTATTCCCCATAAATTAAGCTCTTGAAAGAAATGTGTTAAATATTCTATCACACCAGTAGTTTCTTCTGAAACAAAAGTGAAGCTTTTGAAAATTTAAGATTGGACTACCCATTAATCAAGTACTTCTATACTGAAAATTAATAAACTTAAATAAACTTAATCAACTTACGTAGCTACTCTAAACATCCTCTCTGTAGACTTCATGAAAGCATAAAATAAAAAAAATAAAAATTGAAGATTAATTGATTGATGTTACATGAACCAGACACGTTGAAAAAGTTCAGTATATAAACAATTAAAACACAGTAAGGGAATAAATTGTTACTTCTTATACAGTAACACCAGTTTGCCTCTATGTACTTTTAATATAGACGATAATGCTGTGAAACTGAGCCATTGTACTCTCCTTTTTAAAATCTATTGAAACAAGGATGCCTTCAATAAGTGTTTGCGTTTCCTAAAATTGCTGTGATTGGTGTTGCCTTTGCCAATACGCATCCGTAATCTTGGGTATCATTTATCTCAGCTAATTGATATTGATGACCGTCACACTTGACCGTACCCCGACAAGAAAAAAGACACAAGTCGAAAAACAGCATTTGAGAAAAATCAGCATAAAGAATACTATAAAACTTATTACGAAATACAACAATCTTGAGCACAATCTAGAGATGAGGCAAGTTTTGGGCCTGATGGGGCACTTCATGCAGATTTTTTATCAACATAACCTCAAAATTGCTGTTTTTTGACTTGTGTCACTTTTCTTGTCGGGGTTCGATTTCTTGAGGGTCGACCATGATCGTCATCCATAGTTTCCTTTATTTTCAAAAAAAAAAAAGAAGATTCAGACCAGTCGCTTTTGATATTTGCTAATTACACAAAAGAGAACAGAGTGCATTTTATGCTACGTAGAATGAAGCAAAAATCGCGCGAATGAAACGCAAATAACGGTACAAAATTGAAGATAGTTTGGTTTGATTCTATAAACAAGAACCTTTTTAAGTGTCGAAACACAACATGACCGAGGTAACGAGAGAAACACTTGCAAACTAGTTTAACCAGTAAGAAAAGGGAAACAAGCTTGGAAAATATAATAAAAGAAAGATATACGCAACAAATCGAGGATTTGCCAAGAACTCTAATTTGCAAGATGTAGAAATTACGTTTGAATAGATTTTCAAGCATTGGGAAAAGTAGGATCACTAGAAAAGTCATTAACGAAATAATTAGAATTTTGACAATATACTAGGATTCTCAGAAATCAAAGATAGTAGATGAAAGCATCGCATTTGTTTCTGATTCTCAAATAGTGAAAAATTTCCTGTTTATTCCTAGCTCCATTTCAATTTTCATGAAGTTTTCTAATACACTCTATTTTATAGCAGCAACAGACTACATGTATCGGTTTTTCGCACTTCGATATCAACGTGCCGATTCTCTTTACATCACTTTCTGCTTAGGCACGTGCCCGAATTTCGAGTGCACGTGGCGTGTAAGACATTCAGCCATTCACAGTACTGTACATATGACTTTTTAATATGTACTATCTCTTCCTACGTTTCTCGGCAATGGAATGCGTTGGATGCAATTGAAATCACGCTGCTCTTGAAAAATCACTTATTAAAACTACTGATATTTTCAGATTGACCTTGAATGTAAACAATGGCAACAGAATAAGTGTATATTGCATGTATCTAATACTTTGTTGCATCCTAATATTAATTGCAGAAGTTAGAATGTGAAATTAAAAGAAAATATGCTAAAAAAATAACAAATATTTTAACGTTAAATATTAGTCTAATTAGCATAGAACAAATTGCAAATAAATAATGTTGACTAATTGAAATAAAATAAAAAAGGAAATTCTAGCTTCTTAAATAGCTATATACTTTTTCTTTTCCATTCGAAAAAACAGTTAAGTTTTATTAACATATTTTTCGAACCCATTAATGTACAAATATACATATTTTTTTAGCAATATTTATAAATGTGTCAGTTATTTACCCAATCTTGAAACGGCCTATCTTGAACTCTGATTGTATACCTTCTCTCCCTATAGAAAAAGAATTACAGATTATGCGAGGATAATGATCCAATAAAAAGGGTTACAAGGGTACAATAATACAAGGGTACAATACAAGGTTACAAGGGTACAATAAAGGGTTACAATAAATCTTATTCATTAACAGTGCCAATTGTGGAAAAGAGGCAATTTTGCCGTTAAGTTTTCCGCATATTTACAAAACATATCGAAGTATTTACCGGACGCAGGTTCAATTAGCTCAAGCTATCTTGCCCTATGTATACCCCTATTTATACAATACTGTATGAAGCGAAATTTCTTTCATATAGGATTTCTTTATTTTTCAAAAATAGAAAACTATCTCATGATGTTAAATATGGGTTTCATGGGAGTTTTTAAAAAATTCCTGATATGCTAACACTATATGGAATTGTCATTCAAGAGGATAACTACTGCAGTTAACATATCAGGGTGATTGTGATAGGTGCTTTAATATAATTTGATCTGTCTTACGAGGTCTCTTTTGTCTTTCTGCTCACAAAACTGAATTAATGTTTGCTATAATTCAAGACGTTTTGATGCTTCAGTGATTCTAACGCATTTTTAAACAGACGCAAACTATCCTTATTTGTGCTTGTAAGACAATATCGGAGACCCTTGTCTCTACTTAAGAATAATTTAGTAGTCCCAAAACACTTATTTTACATAGGTTAGTGCTTGCAACCTTTTGTTTTGTATGAAATTTACATTATTCATAATTTCATAAAAATGCTCATTAAAATTTTCACGATAAGATAATTTTAGAAAAATTTGAAAAAAGAAAAAGTTTATAACATTTAGTATAGTTTGGCATATTCTTATTGCTCAAAGACCAATCATGTGGCCAATGTTGTTTTTTAATTGTTTGTTATGCTGTAGTGAGTGACCAAAGGCTTCGTAGTGCTCTACATTGGGTCTTTTTAGATGGTAATTGGCTGTGTATTCACAGTCGTGCAAGTAGTGTTCAGGCGTGCCCTCTGCCTGACTTGAACAGGTGCAAATGTTTGTATCTAGTTTATTAATTCTATTTAGGCCGAAGGCTCCCAGTAAAGTAAATGGTGACTGGTGCACGTTAAATCAGTCGGGTCACAAAGTTATCCATATTCCCATAGCAAATCATACCACTGGATATACTGAATAAAAGATTGATCGTTCTCTAGTTCAGGTCAAAATTACGAACTGTGGATAAATGAATGGATGTATGAATGGGTTCGCCCTATGAACGGGAGTGACGCATGGATGTAGTGGAAGACAAATTTTTGGCCATAGCTGGCTCCTCTGGAAGACAAAAACAATCGTACCCCTTGCCTTTATGTCATACCACAACAACTACAGAAGGCGTCAAGACTGGGTTCAAAATTACAAGGCTGCAGAGTTGAACACTAGTAGTCGTAAACCCGAAAAATTGGATCGGTTGTTCAACGACGGTTATAAAAAAAATATTGGAAGCCTTGTCATGTATTTTAGTATATTTGTTGTCGATTAAAGCAGCATCTATTACCGCCATATCAGTAGTACTATTAACGAATTAAAAAAAAGTACCAGGGCATTTTAAGTAAGACAGCAAAATTCCAATCTTAAAAAAAAGTGAATTTGTGGCAGGAATGAAGGCAATTACCGCTAAAACCTATTACCGCAATGCCTATGTTATATTAAGTACCTATTTGCACTGCACATGTTATCAATAACAAGCAGTATCTATAACCACAGTAAATTAAGCATCACTAGTGTCAAAATTGGTTTAGACATTGCTTACAACGCTTTGAAATGTATAAGTACTAAACATTTTTAAGGTAAGCAAAACACTTACTTGCAAGCAACTTTGCAGCTTGATGTACAGTTCTCCATTAATTTACGTCTTTCTCCCTCGGAATTGCACTCTATATTAGGCATTCCTGGTTCACGAACTGGAAAATTAATAAATCAAATGAAAAAGAAACATCCTGAAAACATACATTAAGCATTTAATAATGGAGAAACCTCATTAGATTTGAAAAAATAATAATATGAAGTGCGTATCCAACAAATGCTAACTTTGTGGCTTTTAAACGAACTATCTTTACTTGATTCCAGTGTCAAAGTAACTCTTGGAAGCGTTGCGTTTCATCCACCACTTCTACAACATCTCCCAAGCAAGTCTGGTCGAGATTTAAGAAAGCTAATGATATCTACCGTGAATTTCATCTTCCGGTATATGAAAGGAACGGTATCACGGACTCTGATCCTAAACGCCACACACTAAATGATGAAACTCGACGACGGCTTCAATATAACAGAGCTATCATGCTTCAAAAATTACAGCGAGTGTTCGCCAAAGCTTCCACACGAGTTCAGGCCTTGATAGGATATCCTATCGAAAGTTACGCAATTTGAATTATTCGTCCCATCTCAACATTCTCTTGCTTTTCAACAGAATATGGAAAGAACAGGTGTATCCAATTGGGTGGCGTGAAGCTATAGTTAAACCGATTTCGAAGCTAGAGAAAGATCCGACGGAACGTATCAACTATCGCCCATAGAACTAACTAGTTGATTCAGCAAGATTTTAGAGCGTATGGTTAATTCTCAACTAATTCATTTTCTCAAAAATAAATACGTTATTCTTTATTTTCAAAGTGAATTTGGTAGAGGCAGGAAGACAATGAATAACATGGATTCCCTGAAATCTCATATCCTTAATGCTTCTGTCCGGCGAAGCCACTTAGTGTCTATCTTTTTTGATACTGAGAAGGAGTACGATCGGACATGGCGATACGGTATTTTTAAAGATTTGTTTGACATGTGCTTCCGTTGTCATCTACCTGCTTTTATCAAAAACTTTTTGAGGCAAAGAGTAAGCTTATGAGAGTAATTGAGCATCATCCATAACTAACTCTTATCAAAATTGTAGAATGGTGTGATCAGAATGGCCACGCGCTTTCACCCAATAAAAGTTCATTCATAAATTTTTGTCTGCTGCGCAGATTATGTAGCAATTCTGTTATATTCATCTATAACGCAGATCCTATCGATGAGGAAACTAAATTTTTAAGAGTAGTCTTTGACCAAAAATCTGACTTTCTTTCCTCATATTAAACAATTGCGAATCGTTGCGAGAATGTAATGAATATGCGCGTTCTGTTCAAATACGTTGGGGGGCATATTGTATCCCTTTACTGCAATTATATTAAGTGTTAGTACTGTCGTCTAATGACTACGCTTGAAGGTCTATGGCACTGCTGTGTCCTCCCCCTAAAAACGCTAGGACACAGTGCATCATATGGCCTTACGCATATGTAGCGGCACGTTTCGTACTAGTCCAATAAAAAGCCTGCATGTCTTTTACCTACAATTATCTATTTATCTACGTCGCACATGTCCACGCTACGTCTCTCGGACATATTGCTATCGCGTTATGTCTAGTAAATCGCTCCCTTTAAGGGGGGATGTTACTACATCAAGTTTCGAGAGATTGTACGTAGCTAGACCTTCCGATCGATTTCCTTTTTTTACAAGTAATTAATTGGAATATAATAGCCAAATGTATATTTGAGCTAAAATTGTGAAATAGTTTATATAATGTGAATAATATGCCTACCATGAGAGTATTTTTATTCACACTCTGTCTTAAAAGAGCAATTTATGTTTGATAGAAGTGAAAGTGCATACTTACACGAGCACGCTTCTTCGATTGTAAAGAACGTCCGCGGATGTGAACGGTTATAGCAATTTTCCCATAATGTACTAAGACAGTCGTAGATGCACATCTGATGAAATGAATGAATGAATGATGAATTTATTACTGAAGGGAATAGTGAAGAAAAGAAAAACATTTAAATAAAAAAAACACTAAAAAATCATTGTCAGACAATTCTACTATACCTATTGTTAATAAAAAAAAAGAGATGCTTGTTGTACCTTAGAACTTTGTAAATATAGCACCTAAGACCTACCCATATTTGTAGACAATTTAATCCTCATCGTAATAATATTGAAATTAAAAAACTATGAATTATCTCCATGGTATTTTATCATGTTGCTGAGATTATATTTAAGTATTGCAATAAAGCTCTGCTAATCGACGTTAAAGAGTATTAGACAACAGGAATATGACTTTAAATAAAAACATTTTCAGTGACAATGAATTCCTAACATCCCGTGTTACTGACAGATCATATATGATCTATCCAATATGAGTTAAAATCATGAGCCAATATGAGTCAAAAGGTATGTCACTCGATGAAAATCATCGGCAACGAAGCCGACAAGTCAATCGTAAGTGCAATCGTATCCTCATCTTCCAAACTGAATTGATCGAAAATGATAATGTGTGTTACAGCAATCACAGGAGTTGGAAATATCAGTAATCGTTTCTCTCCCCGAAAAAAATTGCATATAGTTAAAAGCAACTAGCACTTGAACCAATAAGATCGTTTACATTTTATAACGTTTCAATTCTGTCCAATCACGTTCATAAATATAAATATTAATGGCGTCAATGGAGACGGACAAGATGATCGGACTAAATTTTTCATTGATGAAACAGAACAGCTGTGGAGTGTAAAAATAGCATTCATACTTAAATTCGAACATTGAAAGTATTTTCGTATGATGATATGTTAAAATCGATACAGTTGATGTACCATAACAGCAACCTGCACATCATTTTAGTGACGGTAAATGCAGAAAACTATTTTCTAGTTAGTTATTTTAAGAATAATTATTCGTTCCTAATTATTAAATCGAAAGTTGTTATAATTTATTCTCATCAAAACTTTGATTACTTTTGATAGAAATAATTTCTATTTTTGATGAATTTTTCTGGCGCGAGGCTTCATATTAAAATATTCGCCAAGCAACTTGTCATACGTTGTTCTAACATTTAAAATATATAGAGATTTGATTTCTTTATTTTTAAATTTTAATCTTTATTTCTGTTGATTGTAAAAGCAAGTATTCGATTACTTGAAATTTTTTTTTTTTTTTAACTTGTGAAATAAATATTTTATTCCTTTCTCCGTAAGAATACTTTAAATTTTTAAAAAGCTTATCGTGAAACAGTAACAAGTTAAAAAAAAACTCAGAAAACATGTGCAGCAAATATTTATCTTCTCTCGCACAAAGTTACCCCATTTTACGGTAATCATTTAAAAGTTTCAAAAGGAAGAAGTTATATAATGCAAAAGGGGTAATTTTGAAAAATATAAATTCCACTATCTCAATTGTTCTGTATTCCACAATCCTTTTCCTTTTTATTTTTCTAACTTTTTTTACATTCATCCTTTCCTTATTTTGGTGTATTAGGATTTGGATAACATTTTGTCTATTTAACATGTATTTAACTATTGATGCGTTACTTTTCCAGATGAGAGTAAGTGTGTAAGTTTATCTTGCTAATTTTTAAATATAGTTTAATTTTCAATTGAATCAAAAATGTTTCATAAATATATTTTTTGTTTGCTAAACCGAATTCAATTATAAAAGTTTCAAAAATTCCTCCCATCTTTCATAGGTGTATAGAATAATCCTAGAACTATAATATAAATATCTATCAGTTTAAAATAAGTTTTTGAGGGATACCTGAAGGCTTAACTGATTTCAAATTAATGGTAATTAATTTCGCTTATTCTAATATTAGCAGCTTCTAATAATAGCAGCTAGATTCTAATATTATCAACGTCGGCAGTTACGATTAATTTAGGGCAATTTTACAATTTGTGTTTTCAAGCATTATTTTTAATTGAATGAAGTATCTTATGTCTCTCTTTAGCTCTCATTTTTCTTACAAATTCTATTTTGCTTTATTTGAAAAAGACGAAAAGTTAGTAAAATTTTAGGAAGAAGATGCATTTTATTTTAAAAAAATGCTTCGAATATTACCCCGGGTTGTTTCTACATTTCGTATTTTTTCGCAATCGCTTTGAAAACAATTTTAGCCAAATTATAACTGGAATAAATTTATAACGTAAACTTAAAAATGTTTTTCGATTTTCACCATTCATTTTTCATGTCGATTTTTCCCGGTGAATGTCAAAAATCACATAGTCGCTTTGATGATATAGTTGTTATCTCCGATTTGATATTAATTTATTCGTTGATATTATTATATTTATTGGATATTTTAATGTCTGCTGAGAATAGATTTGGAGAAACATCAGTGTTCCGGATAAATGCATATTGGGTAGTGGCACTGAACGATAAGAAACTGTGATGTAGGGTATACCGGGCTGTGGCACTTAACTAAACCTATTATATATTTCGAACACTTACTAAAGTGACTATGTGGTTGCCAAAACTCACCGAGGAAGTCAACAACCACCTCGGTGGTTATTCATATTAACATACATCTATGTATACATAGCGTAATCGATATTAAATACCTGTTGTGATGTGGGTCCAGTTCTGTTATTTTTGATCCATTCTTTTTCATAGTCCCGGCAATCTGTTTTGTACGGAAGCTTCAGCTTATGATCTTCTTCCTTGAGTATAAAAAGTGTTAGGTACATTTGTAGTTTGTTAAAGATTGAAGAAATAATACAGTTTACCAATATTATAATAATTGTTGCACTACTAAGAATGAAAAAAATACGCTTCTCGAAAAATTGCATAACTATTAGTGATACTAGTGATGCTTAAGATATTGTGATTAATATGAACTACTGATATATTGTGGTAAAAGGTACTTCATATATGTAATGTATAATGTATATGTAGTTAGAAGTCTGTTGTGGTTCACCTAAACGTGATAATTCCCGATTTTACAATGCTGAAAATACCAAAAAATGCCCCAATGAATCACAAGTAAGTCTGTTAAATTGATCTATTTTTTTTCCAAGAATTATGCTACTAATAATTAAGTAAAGAACACTGAAAAACCTTTTTTTTTCATCACAAAATTCAATAAGGAAAATACAATATTTTTAATTCAATATTTTTAAGTAAGAAAGTGACCAAATTTCAGAACTTATTAAGTATATCTTGAGGGCCCTCTATTTAATCCAGATACCATCCAACTTGATAAAATTTGTTAAAAATTTGTGTTTATTTAGTCCTGTATTTAGTATTATATGGCAAGTTAAAGCAGAATTCAAATTTTTATCACTTAACGGTTTATGTATCATTTTTGTGTGTTTTAAAACTATCCTTATTAGTTTTTATACTGGTTCATTGCTTTATTGTAAGAACAGTGGAAAAAGTAGTTATTGTTTTTAAAATTTACGGGAGTGCCTCAACTTTCATTAAGCTCTCTAGAGGTGTAAATTTTTTAATTATTTTTATTATGATCGTCGTCGAACAGCCAACCCTATTTTGGGTTTACGACTACTAATGCTCCACTTCATAGCCTTGTAATTTTGAACCCAATTCAGAAGACAAGGGAACTTCTAGACCAAGTATTCGGAGACATTTGCCTTCGTGGAGGATTTTTAGTACTCACGGATTTTGAGACTCAGAAAAAAGACTTCGGTGTGAACTATTAAATTGACAGTTGAGGATTGCTTTATTTTAATTTTGTGGCGATATCATAGACTAAAGTAGCGCTGTCTTAGAGTTAAAGTACTGTCAAATCCATAATAATAAATGTGGTCTTACTTGTTGCTTATCATTTTTGTGTGAATTTCAGTAGATGTATCGTATACTTTTCAACTATATTAAGCTTATAAAATAAATATTTTCTTTTAATTAAACCTATAATTCCCTCTTATTTTTAAGGATGATACAGTATTTAATTTAACACATTAATAACAAGGAAATTGTTCAAAAGAAAAAACTCAAAAACTATTTAATTATCATTTTATCAATGCACTTTTTAACTCAGGATATAGCTGCGTACTATCATTAACAAGGAAAGAAAAAGTACATTACGTCTTTGGAAATGTAAAAGGGAAGCCAGCAAAAGGAAGAATTGCAACCTACCAACTTGACGTGTATTTTATATTCCCTATTTGGCACAAGAGCAACTCCGTCAAAATTTGGATCAATTAATGCGAATGGGGAGTGTATCGAGAGAAGCGCACGGGGTGTTGAAAAATAATCATAATGGTCCGTTTCATCTAGTAGAACCTCAAAGGATTCAGCAACAATCGCTCTTCCATCAACTAAAAGAGAAATAAGATTTCAATAACGGTTACAATTTACATGACTAATCCAGATTATTCAAACCTATGCACAAGTAAGATATGTAAAATAGATATAGTACATGTTAAATGAATGTGAAAAACAACAAGCACCCTAAACATCCTTTGTATCCTACTTTTGTCGCCAGGAAAGAAACAGGCTCATTTTTCTCACAATTCTTACTTATTACGGTAAGGACTTCAGTTTCAACTTGATATTATCGTTCATAATAATTTTTAAATTTCATAAAGTTAATCAGATGCCAATCACTGGTCTGGTGGCTTCTGTGCTGGACTACGGGGCCAGTGGTTGTTTGTTCGAATCTCACCGTAGGCATGGATTCAACTTTCTCTCCCTCTGTGTTCTATGTCCTTTTTTCTGTGTGATTTTGTGAATGTAACCCTTCCTATAAACGGGTTTCTAGTTGTATGACGTCGGCTACGCTACTCTATCGCAGTGGCTTAGCTGCAGGTGCCCCCTGGGATTACGATAAGAGAGTAGCAATTCTAGCATTTTTGAGGCTAATAGGAAATAATGCCTGCCATTAAAAACCCAAGTGCCTGCCATTAAAAAAGTAATCAGATTACGAACTGAACTGAAAAGTTGGAATGGTGTAATCTTCCTTACAGTCAGCTCCATAATTTGATACTCAGCATCAACAAACCTTGTACGAACTCTATCGCTGCGCATGGGAAACCTACGACTTATTTAATGTCAGACAAACCTAAGTATCTGTAAGAAAAGTGGCCTTACTAATTGCTCGGTGCACACGCTTTTGTTTTAGTAATACTCTTATACATTTTCTTTCTTTTTCTTTTGTTTCATATGTATTGTTTCATATTATGACTACGCCGTGATTGCTTTGCTCTCTATTTTTTATTCACTTAAACTAGCATTTTATTTAATTTATGAGCATGGAAGTATTTAAATGAGTTTTTTTTTTCAGTAGAAAAATTAATGTATTTACCTATTTTTTCCGGTGTGGTCTCTTGCGAAGCTGGAATGAAATACAATAAGTTAAAAAATGTTTCCCGGTATTTTTTCAGATAATGCATGAAACAGTATTAGTAATAACATTTTGAAACATTGTTTTTTTTCAATTAGTTATTAAATTTAACTCGCTGAGTTTCAGAACTGAAAGTTGTAATAGGCATGCTGCTTTACAACAAAGATCTGGTTTTTCCCCTGATACATACAACTTTCTCTTTTCTGAAAAATATTTCAGCACAATTCTATCTCATATAGATTTGTTTCAAGTCCCTATGCTTGGAAAGTTGAAAGTGCAAGTTATACTATTTTATTAGAAACTATTAAATATTCATAATTTCCAATTTCTTTATAAGAAGTCTTGTTGTTATTATTTTATAATAATTATGCTAAAGCATTTAAGTGTAATTAATCACAAATATATATGCTATCAGTTAGCATAGAAGCAAAATAAATTTTCCGAAACATTTGTTATTTACACTTTTAAATCAAGATGTCTTTCTTATGTATTGTGTTAGAATAACATAGAAATACAATAATTTTTAAAAACAACACAGTAATTTTCTTGATAAATCAGTTGCAATTCCTTTGAAAATTACGAAAAGAAACAATATGGAAAACAACCCACAAGCAAGACAGGCAATCTATAGTTAAAGAAGTAAAATTTACTGAATTCTCAAAACACTATTTAAGACGTACGATTTCATTGAACGCAAAATAACAACAGGGGCTAAAAAACTCAAATATCAAAGTCCTCTCAATAATTAAAATGAGTGACATTTTCGCTAATAAATTGATGAAATAAAAGTATGTAAAAAAAAACTTTGAAAAAAATGCTCCCAATGTGCGATTATATGGCAGCTATTATGTGATATTTGGCATCTGTATATTGCAAAATAGTACAAGAGCACAAACGCGATCACTGAAAAAATTAGAATCTAGCAACGGCAACTCCACAAGAAATTAGTCTTTTTATTCAGAACTTTACATTTACTTTGATTTTAGAAACACAATTAAATGTAAAAGGAAACCAAAAGCAATCACATTGTAACTAATAGAGCAAAAGTTGACAAAAGCAGCAATTACCTTCGGTGAGCAACAAAAGTACAGGAAGCCATGGCTAAAAATATTGGTCAAAATGTACCATATTAAAAACAAGCAAATGGGCTAAATAGAAAGCCAAAATACTATCACTCAAGTCCGCTTTCTCTAAGATTACTACATATGAAAACTACAATACTTAATGTATTTGAATCCTATGTAATTTAATTAGAACACTTAAAGAAGTCCATTTTAGTACAAAAATAGATTGATAAATGGTCAAGTGGTTTATACGAATAAACGTGATAATGAATCGTTCTTTATTAAAGTGTTTAATTGACGAGACACTAAATAATCCTAAGTTAACTTGATGGGGGTAGTACATACGTTTTATAAAGATTGAGTTATATAGTAGCGACATGGTCTATGTTCATCGGGTATAAAACCAAACGCAATCTATAGGTAGCAGGTATGTACTTTAATTTAAACAACATGATGAATTATTTTACCCATATTTGCGATTAAGTTGAAATATTATGTATACCAGCGGGTGACCGAGCTCCGCTCGGAGAAAACAGGTATCGAAGCTAACGCTCGAAGATTATAATTTTCAATTGTGATTTATCAAAACAATACATGCCATAAGAAAATTTGTGAAACCATTGGTGAAAAGATAACCGGTTAAAGTGCACCATTGTAAACTATCTAAACAAAGTTAGAGTTTGGAAAGGGAACTATTCTACACAAAGGTAAAGTTTGAAAAGTCATAGGAAATAAAATGTAATTGATAACAAAAAATTATACAATTAAAGANCTCTTTTCTGAAAAATATTTCAGCACAATTCTATCTCATGTAGATTTGTTTCAAATCCCTATGCTTGGAAAGTTGAAAGTGCAAGTTATACTATTTTATTAGAAACTATTAAATATTCATAATTTCCAATTTCTTTCTAAGAAGTCTTATTATTATTATTTTATAATAATTATACTAAAGCATTTAAATGTAATTAATCACAAATATGTATGCTGTCAATTAACATAGAAGCAAAATAAATTTTCCAAAACATTTGTTATTTTCACTTTTAAATCAAGATGTCTTTCTTATGTATTGTGTTAGAGTAACATAGAAATATAATAATTTTTAAAAACAACACAGTAATTTTCTTGATAAATCAGTTGCAATTCTTTTGAAGATTACGAAAAGAAACAATATGGAAAACAACCCACAAGCAAGACAGGCAATCTATTGTTAAAGAAATAAAATTTGCTGAACTCTCAAAACACTATTTAACGATACGATTTTATTGAATGGAAAATAACAACAGGGACTATAAAACTCAAATATCAAAGTCCTCTCAATAACTAAAATGAGTGACATTTTTGTAAATAAATCGATAAAATAAAAAATAAAAAAAACTTAAAAATGCACCCAATGTGCGATCATATGGCACCTATTATGTGACATTTGGTATCGGTATATTGCAAAATAGTACAAGAGTACAAAAGAGATCACTGAAATAATTAGAATCTAGCAACGGCAACTGCACACGAAATTACTAGTCTTTTGCAAGACTTCAAATTTATTTTGGCTTCAGGAACACAATTAAATCCAAAAGGAAACCAAAAGCAATCACATTGCAACTAATGGAGCAAAAGTTCACAAAAGCAGTAATTACCTCCGGTGAGCAACAAAAGCACAGCAGCCATAGCTAAAAATATTGGTCAAAATGTACCATAATAAAAACAAGCAAATGAGCTAAATAGAAAACCAAAATACTATCACTCAAGTTCGCTTTCTCTAAGATTACTGCATATGAAAACTACCAATTACTTTATGTATTTGAATCCTAAGTAATTTATCAATTAGAACACTTAAAGATAATCCATTTTAGTACAAAAATAAATTGATAAATGGTCAAGTGGATTATACGAATAGACGTGATAATGAATCATCATTCATAAAAGTGTTTCATTGACGAAACACTAAAGAATCCTAAGTTCACTTGATAGGAGGTAGATCATACGCTTTATAAAGATTGAATTATACAGTAGCGACATGGTCTATGCTCATCGAGTAATAAGCCGAACACTATCTATAGGTAACAGATTTGTTCTTTACTTTAAACAACATAATGATTTACTTTACCTATGTTTGTGAATAGGGTTGAAATATTATGCATATATATATATGTAACCTTGAATGATCAGAATCAAAAGACTGCCAATTTTCAACGGTGAATGTCACCAATCACATAGTCGCTTTGGTGAATGTCGATTGGCAGATTTGATATTTTATTTTATTACCGTCATTGAACAGCCGATCCAATTTTTGGGTTTACCACTACTAATGTTCAACTCCGTAGCCTTGTAATTTTGTACCCAATTGAGAAGACAAGGGAACTCCTGGATCAAGTATTGGGAGAAATTTGCCTTCGTGGAGGACTTTTTTGATGGAACTAACCCGCATTTGCGTTACATGGAGAGGAAGACCACGAGAACCACCCACGGTTAGCCTGACAGGAAGGGAACTCCAGCCCACGATCCGTCTGCCACTGAGGATATGTCACGTCAGCACTGTGGTTGGTGCAAGCTGGATGCGGAATTCGTATCAACTAGCAATCGCTAGGATCGAACCCTGGTTCACCTCATTGGAAGGCGAACCCTCTATCCTCTGAGCCATCGCGGCTCCCGATTTGATATTAATTTTATTATGTATTTATTCGATAATATTATTATATTTTTTCGATATTTTAATATGTGCTGAAGATAGATTAGGAGGGACATCAGTGTTCAGGAGTGCCGGGCAAATGCATACCGGACATAGGCATTTAACCTTAAAAAACATCAGTTCAGGGCTTATCGGGCAAATGTGTACCGGGCAGAGGCACTTTTCCTTCAAAAAACATCAGTAAAACAGGACTAAAGAGAATAGAAGGGCTGGTTCAC